CATAAGAAATGGCTAGGGTTATATCCATATATATACTCTAGGGTTAGGCTTTAAGTTGGACCATTAAAAGGGTAAACGGGCCAAGATTCAAGCCATCCATAAGAGAATATAATTGGGCCGGGTGTAGCTCATAGACTTGGTTGTTGGACTTATTTCATTCATCGACCTATGCCTATGAAATAATATTAATCCACGTTAACATCATAACCCGAAATTTATTGGGTATCAAAAAACCCAACATTATCATATGCACCAATTGGCCCAAAACTGAGAGTTTAGATATGAGCAAGAGCATGTATCAATCACTCCAACGACGACCTTTATAATTTTGTAATTAGAGTAGAGTAACTAACAAATCAAATTAATCTGATAATTTGTTCGTCGACAAAATAATTAGTCAAGAAATTAAAATTTCACAAACTTAGGGGGCCTCTAATGTTAAAATTTCACAAACTTAGGGGGCCTCTAATGTTACTTTTGTTTTACTTTATAAAATTTCATTTCAGAAATTTAGTGTGTAACCCCTAAAGGAAAAACAGTACACATGGCTAAATGTGCTAATTTCAATAAGCTTTGCTAGTGATTTCTCTTGATTCTTCCAACTATTTCATTCTTGTCAAGTACAAAAGGTCTCATTATATTCATGGTTCGTAGTGTATAGTACCGGGAAATACTAACTAATAAAAAAAAAATACCGTCCAATTAAGTTTGATAATGAGAAGCGAAGATGCTCTTAATGGCTTAAATATATTGTACCTGCACATTTTTTCACATTTACTCGTCACAACTTCTTCAACGTTTCTTTTCAGCGTCCATTGAGATCTCTCACTCATTTTATCTAATTACCGTCGTACATCGATAATTGGTCATAATGAAATACGAAGTCTCAAGTTGCTTACAAATAGTTCTAAACTGTATTAAACGACTCTTGAGTCTTGAGAATGACTTCTGTTATTTAGTTTAATTTTGGAATGAAAAAATCAAGATGACCTAGTTATCTCCATCTTAATGATCCAAACTTTATACGCAAGAGAAGTGTTCATAGACATTATTTCATCTAGCTAATGACAAGTTCTTTTGAAATTAAACATGAATTATAACTACTTTGCTTCATTGGTGTTAGGAAATCAACAAGTATTTTGAGTCATTTTTCTATAATCTCACGATTCTAAAAAAATAAAATAAAATAAAATCATTATGGCAAAAATGTATAGAAAATTAATGTATGCAGATTTTGAATGAAAGTTGGCCCCCCGGTTAAAGATATGAAGATATTATCTATTGTGACATTTTTCTGATTGTTTGGTTTGGATTAAAAATCGATTTTAATTTAAGTCAAAGTCAAACAATCAATATTAACTACATAATGGGTCTCACAACTTTTTAACTACATATTTTAAAAACTTCACAATCTACTAAAAAATCTAATTTTAATTCCCACCAAACACCCTCTAAGATTATTTTAGTAAAACCCATTTAGTCCAAACTAATTTTATTACTATGATAAAGTTATAATTTAATATATGTGTAGTCACAAAAATTATTATTTTGACTTAATTATCCTTATTGCGAGTAGTATTAAGCTAAAATATTCACTACACTAATATAATAAATTAGTATAGCATGTTAATCCAATGTATTTATAGTGTTAAAAAAAAATACAAAATCATCTTAAAAGACTAAAAATTTATATTCTCTTTAATATATATTTTTTCCAATGTAAATTCTAAAAATACATTGCATATTATACAACTCATGCAATCCTCAACAATTCAGGTTATACATCCCCTTCTTCCTCTAGCATACTGTTGCATGTTTTTTATCGCAAGTGTTCGATGTCGTTATAAGTAATATAGTGGAGATATGAGTCCGAATTGTCTTTCACACGAAAACTATTATTTAATTCCCAAATTACTATTTCTAACTCATAATCGACGAAAAACAAATAGTAGTTTTAATTTATATTCAAATCATACTAGATTTTTTTTTTAAAATCTAAAATCACACAATCAAATCAAATTAGGGCTTTATAGTATGAATATTGATGTTAGTTTTTATAATTTCATCAAGATTCATTATTTATTGTAGTATTAATCAAATTCTTCATAATTTATATTTCTCGAGTTCAAATTAATTGTATTTAACTAATTAAATTTATTATATCTCTAAGACCAAAATAAACATAAAAATATATATATATATATCTACACTTTTTATCTAAGTTACCGAATCTTACTATGTGGACTAAATCTATATCTTACCTTGTGATTTGTTATAAATTAAAAAATTATTGAATTAGTGACCAATTAATCCAAAACATTATCATCAATTCATAAAAAAATTAACACATGAAAATTAAATTACTAGAATCTTGAAAATAAGAAAAAGGATTGCACACAGTTGATATTTTTTACCCTACTATGGGCTTACCTATTCATACTAATAAAATAAAAATAAAAATAACAAAAAGAAATAGAGTTCATCACAGTTCTGAAATCATGATGAAGTGAGAGTTGAATTTTGCACCAAGATTCTTCTTCTTCAATCCCAAAACCTTGAATAACCTAACTTTCTATATGTTCTTCTCTCTATAATTTTGTGTCCCATGAAAGATAATATTGAAAACTATTATTATAGTTGAAAATAACTCTAAAACGGAGTCCTAATATATCTCCCATATAGAATTTGTGTACGAGTAAAAACCCAACTAAAGTTGAATTTTTTCATCCAGTTTTGTGCACTTTGGTCCTTCATATTAATTGTAATTCATCTCAAGCCCTTTTCATTTGCACGGAAGGTCCTCAGCTTCAAGCTTGGATTATTTTAGCTTCCAATGCTAATATTTTTGCACAAGTTCAATCCAGTTTCATCATACCTTATCCAATTCGGGGGTTTCTCCTAAGCATCTTTTCAATATAAAATTCCCAAAAGCCCACATTTGGCGGCTCGAATAAGTGTAAAAATACACTCAAATACTCCCAAACTTGGACCTTAATTTGTTTATCCTTGAATAAAGGAAAAGAAAGATTCAACTATACCTATGTATATATACTCGACTTGAAATATCTCATCAATATTTTTCTCAAAATAAATATATAATTCTCAAAATTCAAACAGTTTAATGAAACAAGAGAAGAAACAATAATATTAAAAACTCCACATATCATAAATTCAGCTTTTGAGTGTCTGTGTAATAATCATTCTCAATTCCACTAATACTATTTGTATCTAGTTATGCACCTCAACTCTCAAAGTATCTTTTCCCAACAAAACCAAATCTCATTTAGCAATGTAATCTTTCTTCACTGATATTGCTCTCTTGATTTTCTATTTCTTTTTCCCCAAAAAGCGAACTAAATATGTGAAGTATAACTTTTTTCATCATCAATTTAACCACTCTCTAATCCATAATCGATGACCAAAAATTAGCCGGACATGGACAATACTTATAGTTTCTTTGTTATGCCTCACAAACTTTGATGTGTTTCAATTTTCTTGTTCTTCAATTATTTTTAGGTTTTCAAAGTTAGTTTTCACTCAGAGACAGTAGACTATCTTCTGTACATCGATAATCAGCAGAGCAAAATTACTCAAAACAACTTCACACTAAAATATACTCTACTATTTCTTACGTCTCACACAATTCATTCTTGCAGATTACATAATAAGAAAACCTAAAATTTTCACCCCTAAACTTAATTCTTTCATTGTGGTCAATGTAGCACTATAAAACTCAAGAACATAAAAATTAAATATAAGAGAGAAATTTTAAACCTGTAGAATAAATATTGAATGATGGAATTGGTCTTGAAACTTTATTTCCTTTTCTTTTTCATTCTCCTACTTTAAATGATCTTTTGTTCTTGGTGCCACTTTCTTGAAAACAACATTAACAACAATTAATAAGCAATTTTTATCAATATTTCAATCAAATCATAATTTAAGCGCATAAACTACAAATCTCTCTCAATTTAATATAAAAATATATGCAAGAGTTTAAAGAAAAGAGTTTATCATGATTATAAGCAATGATACTTTTGAGTGAAGCTTGAACTATTAATGATTTTAAAACCTTTAAATTTAAATATGTGTTTTTGCGGATATCAAATATGTAAAGGAGGGGGACTTTTTTGAAGACTTGAAGTTAAAACTTATTAAAATTAAATAATATACCACATTTGACCACAGCACACTGGAGAATTTGATCAAGTCACGATTGACAACGATCAACTCCTGAATTATTATTATTTTAAAAACATAGAAAATGCCCGTGTGTAATATGCAATCTTATTTGTATATACAATACATCAACCAAAAATTAAAATGTTAAGGGTTAGAAAGGTAATTCGCCTCCCATTAGTTCTTAATTTATAGTTTCAAGCTTGACTTTGATTATATCAATTTATTAAATTCTTAAAACCAAAAGGTTTTACATATAATTAACTTTTTGACATAAGAATACGAAGCTCCCAGCGAATACCACTATGCTATGTAAACAATTTGTTGCTGGTTTTAGCAAATATTCCATTTTCTAGTGATCATTTCCCGAGTGACTAATCTATAATATAATTCTATACAAACTCCCAATTGAAGTAGAGCATACATAGTACAATCTTCATTCACGAAAGATGAAAAAAAAGGACAATCCAACACCACTTAAAAAGTAATAATTGTATAAACAAATTCTCTTTTTAAATCATATCTAGTTTAACGTACCGACGTTCTCTCATAAATGAGTTTTAAAGTTCAGTTGGCGTGAGATAACTTTCTTTAAGGAACTCGGCAAATTAACCCCCTAATTTCGGGGGAAACAGCACCTCCTTACAAAAGGGGTCGTAGTGACCAGGCTCGGGCGACTGTTGAGTTGACTTATTGGTGGCTAGCTTTTATTTCCCTGTTTCTTTTCTAATTAAATTCTCTAATCTCAATAAGTAATGAAAAGAATGGAGTACAAAGTTAATTTGTAGGGTAAACTGCATGTCAATAGAAATACATTTCCAACCAGAAAGAGAAGTGTCGTTTTCTTGAATAAATAGCATTAAACTATACAATGCATGAACTCGATGGGATTAGGATCTCCTTCTACGATTCAAGAACAACAGTTTTAACCAACCATTGCCGTGTTCTTAAAAGAAATAATGTAAAAATGAATAACATAAAGAGGTGTACAAGCGCAGTAGTAATACAAACTACTTTGCAAAAAGTTGCCTACGCCTACCCAGCTTAATTCTTGAACCAGCTGCCTTTCCCACAATTTCATCCACCAAGTCTTTAAAGATCAACCGCTCAACATCATGGACAATACCTGAATCGTCATTGTCGAAATTTTTCCAGCTCTTTGATCTTTCCATCACATCACGGCACAATATGATTTTCAATCCATCATCATCATTGTTAAAGATGCATCGTGATTTTTTATCTTGAAAATCATCAATCTCAGAACACAATTCTCTGAGAAGCTTTTGAGCATTCAAGTCCTTTCTGGCCATCTTATGAGGTTTCAACCAGGGATCGACAATGTTTTCAGAAGCCAATTTTCTGGCAAGAATTTCATTGGTAACATCAAATACAAGTTTCCTATGAATTTTCTCCTTGGTCATTGACTGAGTTGTGTTTTTGGAGCTACATTCTTCCTTTTGCGAATTGCTTGCCTTAGTTTGTTCCAAGACTAAAAATAACTCAGGATTGATAGGATGGCCCGATGGATGAAACTGATCAGTAGCCAAGCTTGAGCTAAGGTCCCTGAGGATGAGACCAGAAGCTAATAGAATCTCAGAAATGTATCTGTTGTCGGGGTTGGTTTTTTCACAGAGAGAAGCAATATAATCTATGTTTTCTTCATCATGGCTGGAGTTAAGCCTTTGGAGCTTCTGAACTAAGCTTTCAATGTTTTGAAGTTTCCTTCGACTGATTTCAGATTTAATACCAGATCCAATTGAGTTAGGTAAATATCGTCTGTTGAACTACCTTGAACTTTGTTTAAATTTCTTATGGAATCCATGGATCCGTCCCCTGTGAAATTAATGACAAACAATTATATGCATGTTAACAAAGAAAAACAGAACTTCTATTGCTCCTTTGCTTCCATAATTAGTCATCAAATGCTATTAAATGATCTAGAGCCTCTGAAAAAGCCACATATTCTTATTTCCTCAGTTCCACTCATCAACTATAAGATATAGAAATTGACGAGAACATTTAAACTAATTTTATAAATGATACTGAAGAATGAATAGCACTTTCATTATTAATGCAGAATAGGTTATCTAAAATAATCTTTTTAAACTCACCTGTTTATAAAATTGAATTTCTACGGATTTTACAGACTTCTGACAGATATACTGATTTACGCAAAACTATATCCATTTGGTTATTATTTATTTGTGCCGGCCCAGCTATTTTATAGTTTATTTATTAGATCATTGCAGACTACACTTACATGATCCGGAAATAGGAAAAAGGTGAATCTTGATGTATAGGAGGAAGAAAAATATAATGTAGAAAAGTAATAGACTTGTGATCGTATTCTCTACGGAAAAAAACTTGTCTTGGAGTCATACATCCTTACACTATACATATGAATTAGTATATTGAGCAATTTGAGTGAAAAATTCTCATATACCCTATAAGCTTGTTCAATCAGTAACTTCACCACATTAGAGTTTATATCATAAGAGGAGAGCATTACCTTTAAGAGTCTTGCCTGCAAGCTTTATAGGTGATGTTGAATCATCTGTATACACAGAACTGTCAAGAACAGATACAGGGCTTGGGTACTCGGGAGGAACATGAGCGAACTCTGCCGATTCTTCTTCACTCACAGTAAGGAGAGATTCCTGAAATAAACCATGAAATATGTTACCGAATGACCGAGTCTAAATAGCTGAATAAAGAATGTAGAAACACCTACCTTTTCTACAATACTAGGAGATCTTTCAGAACTAATGACTTTCGCATTTTTGGAGTACAACACAATGATCTCATTTGAATGAACAGAAACTTCATTCTCAGGGTAACGCAAATTCCTTGAGTCACTACTGACCTCACTCAATTGGTCATCATTTTGCTGCAAGCTGAGATGTTTAGATCTGCATCTTCCACATGGGGAATTGGACCCTCCTGGTTGCTTGTTTGATTGTCTCGTTGATTTGCTCAAACTGGGAGGCGTGGGTGGTTGAGATCTTTTTTCCAGGTCCAGTTTCTTCTGTTGTATTCTTGGACTGCAGGACCCTGAACTCTTCCCTGGTCCCACAATGCTATCTTTGGACAAGTGATGTGATCTTTTTGAAGTTTGTGTCGTTCTTAGAGTTCTGCTGTCTGTTTTCATATTGACAGAATTTAAAGCATGGTCTTGAGGACTAGTTCTAGAAATCTGATCTTTAGCTATTCTGCCACGGGTTAAACCCTTTCTGTCGTCCACGACCTCATCACCCCGATGTATGGGTAGACCAGATAAGCAATCAGGTGAAATAACTGACGAAGGTATATCAGATTTTTTAACAAGTTTTGCTGGTTTCATGATTACAATCGGAGATTCGAAACTTTTCAAGGATTTGCTGTTCATGGTTGGTGCAAGAAATTTAACAGATTGTGGCTTTTGGCTGCTTGCTGATATTGCATCATATGTGGAACTTGTATACTTTTGCTCACAGTCATTATGACTCGTTAAACTTGAATCTTGTCCTATGTCTTGGGTTTTCAAGTGTCCCTTGGCCTGCATTGCCTCCAATATCTGTTTAAGAGCTCTAAGATCCTTTGCAGATTCTGTGATTTCAAGGTCTCTCAGTATCATCTCTACCTCACTAACAGAAGGAAAGGTGTTTGGAAATTTTCCTGGACCTCTCATACTTGTGGAGGCTGGTTTTTTAGAACCTCTTTTTCCATCAACCCGCTTCCATGGTGCTGGTTCAATTGGAGATCGTAATATAGGCTTCATCACTGTATCGGGATTTCTCCAGCGTGGTGAAATTGGCTCCTTCAAGTTCATCAAGGATAGTTGGATTGGTTTACATAGATCTAATTTTTCACTTGACCTTGAAGGGTAAACAAAATCTTCATCTGGATAAATTCTAGTTGAACCCGTGTTACTGTTGCTGGTTGAGCCAGCATTTGGCATTGTTTCCAAGCCCATCAGCTTTGCTACAACACTTGGAGGCCGTGCCTGATTACCAGATATTTGCTGAGAATTCTGAACCTTATCATCAAACTCACTACCATCTTTCTGCCAACCTTTTGCCGAAAAATTGGATTTTGTATCAGAATTCAAATTCCGCATGGAACACTCTCTACTGTCCAATGAAAGTCTTGGAAGATCTTTAAGCTTAATGGTAGATTTTGAAATGTCCCGCGAATCAAAGGGAATGCAGTTTCTCTCCCTCCCATCATAAGGAAACCCGGGGGCATCTTTTGAAATAGAAAACGATGGCCCATCTTTCACGTTATAGGATGATACTCTTAAAAGTTCTATTGGTTCATTATGATTACAAGATGCTTCTCGAAGTTTAGAATGAATTCTAAGAGATTCCTTCAGATCAGCTGGCAAATTTTTGTTCGTATCGAGGCCTGAGCCATGAGTATCATCACATATTCTTGGTAGTGGTTTTCGGGTGTCCCTGTACTTCAAAACAGGATCTGCTGCCTCCTGCATGGATTTAGCATTAAATGATAAGCCCTGAAATTCCCTATACAAGGAGTCCTTCACCACATCACGAAGATTGGGAGCATGTCTACCAAATTGCGCAGACGAAATTTGTGGGCTCATTGATGTATTCCTTGAAGGAGTTTCGTGGAAAAGTATTCGGTCATAAGACGAGGGTTCTATTTGAGTAGTTCGATTACAATCAAGAGAAGAGAAAGAAGATGAACGAGAAGAAGATGAGAATGAAGCTCTGGATGATTCTGTGGACACTCTCTGCCTTTCTCGAAAATTCAGGCTTGAACCCTTTTCCTACAATCGCAAATCACAAAAATTCAAATTCCCAGTAGATAATATGTCTCTAGACGACAAGTAAATTCACAGTGACAGTTCAAGATTTGTAATTGAGAGAATAGTAAAATACAATCACTTTGAGACTCCCATATGAAAAAGTGATATAACATACAAGCAATCAACGTCTCATCTAAAAGGATTCAGTTAAATAACAGAATTGCAATTCATTCACATTTCAACACATTTCACATGTTCAAGTATTTTGGCAGGAGCACATTCCCTATCAAATCTAATGGGAAATTTTGGCTGTCATAAACCTACTATCTCTTGCTGCTTGAAAATAGGGAATTTTCCTCATGGTTTTTTGAAACTCTACAACTCCCGATCTCCACAACCTCTTAACTAGACCAATATTAATTTTTCCAATGAAATGACCATTGTATCCTCTATGAAAGAGAAAAGATTATGTGAAGGGGACTGTGTTTTAGGATAATATTCTTGCATTTTATCCAACAAAGTGATTATGTACAACACAGTTGACAAAATATAACTTGCACATATCAGATGTCTACAACACAAATACGAAGTATGAGTTTTAGTCTCTAATTGATTAAATTAAAAAAAATAAATAAATTATTCATTGTTAAACTCACAATCACCTTGTGCATTCTAACCAGATAATGTTGTATGGGGAAAAAGAGAAATAAAATTAACATCATTGGATCAAGTCAAGGAAGAAAGCTAACTTGCAAGATTTTGAAGGGTAAGTAGCTTATTGTAAATGAGGGAAGGGTAGGATGCAGGATTTCAGAGTCATTTGATGGGACTGGGGGGGCATAATTTGCATTTTTCACTATTAAGAAATAATGAAAGCAGTTATGATTTATCATTTGTTAATATTCACCATAAGCATTGCAAAAATAACACAACCAAGAGAGAGAAGAAAATTAAGAGCTAAAACTTTGAGCTTTTAAAGTTGTAAATTTTATTCACAGAAGGCCTCGGCAAAAGAAAACCTTCTCAAATCGACCCTGAAATCCTGAATAGAACAAGTGGATTCCAAGAGGTGGTATTTCTACACCAGTAGAAAAATAAAAGTATCAGTTCTCACCATCACAGATCTTTGATGCACATTATTAGACTCTCTGTCCAAATTTCCATTATTGAAGAGGGAATTTCCTGCAAAAATAGAAAAGTCAGTGATAAAGTCTTTGTGACGTAGGGGACAGGTATTTGAACAACTTTGGCAAATTATAGAAATGTCAATTACATATCGTTTAGAAAGTCTAAACACACTGCATCATTCTTATATTGGCCATGTTCATGAACTCAACAGATGCTGTAAACTGTTTATAGAATCTCTAACTAAACACATAATAAATCCTACAAGATTGAAGTCAAGAAATATTACTACAATGAATATTTACCCGGAGGTAGCCTCTTCTAGATGTGCTGTCCCGTAAGAATATGATGGAGATCGAACATTTGAAATATGCCTGTCTTACATCCAATTTACTTTTGCAAATCAGGATTTTCATCCGTCAGCGAATGTAAAAGGTTGGAAGCCATTTTTATTTCCCTCTCTTCAATCAAACAGTCCAAAACTCCCAAATGTCTATATTCTTTCTTGTATCTCTCCACTCCTGTCATAGATTAGAAGCCCATCTTTGAATGCTCCGGCCGGTGTTGACTCACCAATGCTAAAGCCAATTTTATCGAGCACGCAGTTTGGAGGAACCAGATTTCCTTATATTCTTCTACCCTTTATAACATGACCAAATCAAAGGGCATAAAGCAGATTTTACCAATCCCAAATTCATGTAATATAACGTCAGTCATTTCAATCAGTAGAAAAACTCTTCAATTACAAGTCAAACTCAAGCATTTAAGCATCACTCAAGGGCTCAAAAAACCTCAAAACCAGATAGTTCTATCTTTCCTATAGCAAATAATTCATATTCAGAAATTTGCCCAATTATGCACTTTTCTTCAAATTTCTAAGTAAAAACAAGAAAGCCCAGTACACAAAATCAATTCAGTTAATCGAATCAAAGGAATTTCAATGGGGTCTCACAGTACAAAATCAAACAATATCGAACAAAAAGAGAAACCCAACAACCACACATAATATTCAATAAATTAAGAATCCCGTACCAATGCAAAAGGGAGAAATCATTGCAAATCCAAGAAAAAGATGTTTTACACTTTTACAAGTTAACTTAATAGAATGTCAAAAAGAAGACAGCCCTAAATATAAAGAGCTTGTATTTGGTGTCCGATGGAAGGTTGTCAACGTGTACATCAAAATTATCATAAGAGTATGAGCCGCAAGGAGTTGTCAATTGTAATATTGTACAAGTACTTTTAAAAGAAATAGAGAATTGAGGAAGCGAAAGAAGAGGAAGACGAGAGGGCCGGTACATTTTCTCACACTTCCATGTGGGATATGTATTCGGGTGGGTCTCAAGTTGTCTCCATGGACACGGGATTTTTGTCAGCAATGCATGGGAGAGACTAATTTAGATGCCCTCTGTTTAGGAGTAACGTTATTTAGCATTATTGTGTCAAATATAAATTTATATAACAATTACAGATATTAAATAATAGATTTACTTAAATATAATATTATATAATTTATTTAATTGAATTGGTCAAATGTGACTATCTAAACTGGTATTATAGCATTACTAGTATTAGATACCATTATTCTCTAGTTATTTTTAATGTTTGATGTTTACCTCAGAAGCACCCACCCTAACAAGATGAGGGTGATAAAAACTATTAAAAAATAATTCTTTTGATAACGGGTCGATTCTTTGGTGAACTAGCTAGTTCTATTTTTCTTTATTTTTTACGTACGATCAAATTGATTTCCCATTTTTTTTCAGTTGAACTCAATAGTCTAGTATGATTTTCAAAAAAAAATAAATAATAATAATAATAATAATAATAAAATAAAATAAAATAAAAATAAAAAATTCTTTTGAAAATTTTAATTCTAAAAGCATGTGGATCTTGGAATGTATGAAAAATGGTGTTTCTGGTAGATTGACAAGCAAGAAAACAACACTGATTGAAGATCAAGAACATGGAGTATGTTTTAGAATATGATTAAAATTCATGATATCATGAGTAACTCTCAAAGATATCTCATCTAGCACTAGAGATTTTAGAAATGGACATCTCATAACATTTTCGAGATTTCAATTTTGCTGAAAAGCTTGATAAAAATTGTAAGACATTTAATTGAAAAGCAATATTTACAGTAGACTTCTTGGTAAATTTTTACCTAAAACGAAGAATATTAGAATTACTCTTTTTGAGAGTTCGACTTGTTCTCAAAACACAAACAAATAATTGGGATAGACACTAAGGTATAATGCAGTAGTTGATGTCGTTCATGTCAACATTAGAAGTATTAATATAATTCTATGTACTTTTGTTAGGGGAGGTTCAAAGTAGTGCTTTGATTTTCAAGTTTTACTCATACTTTTTCATGCTCGACAAGTAAAAGGACAAATACATATTTGTGTTATATTTTTATTGTTATAGTTTTATTGTCAGTGAATCAATGTAATATATTTATTTTCTCATGTGCGTTTCTTAATTATAGACATCAAATTAATAAAGAAGTCAGAATTTCAAGATTGATAATTTCTTATTTAATCACACTACTCTATGAGAACCCCCATCTTATGACCAAATACTTTTCCCCATAACTCATTCAAAGGGCCCATCTATGAGCCCATGAACCTCGCAATTTGGTAAACAAAATTTTGATCTTTGAAATGTGCTAAAAGACTCAACCATGCTAGAGGCAGCAATCTTGATCAAAGAACAAGGACTCATGAAGATCACTACCAAAACTTAGAGTTGATCTCAAGAAATCTCTTAGGGTTCTAGCTAAACTTTAATAAGCTACTCGGAATCATATTGAACCAAGTGAACTTTTAAAAGTATCGTCCTACACTTAAAAAAGATGGGTCACATCTTCTTTCATAGAGCCAAGCTTAGTACTGTGGCTAACAAACTGTCATTAATTCTTGTCTATGAGTGATATCGAGTTCCCTTTCCATGATTCCATCCACAAGTTCCATTATCGGTTTGTCATTCACAACAAGATGGTGATACAACAATAGCCACAGACAATTTGTGAATGATATTAAACTCAAAACTGCTCAATTTAATTGAGATCAATGAGTTCAAAATTTTCTTTAAAAATTGAAGAAGATGGATATAGGCTCGCAATACAAGCATAATATGAGAATGTTTGAATAAATATTGTAAACTTTCAATGAGATCATCATCTTTATTGTTATATCTATTCTTTTCCCTTGTCTCTTACTCCTTTTATTGGTATCCACTTCTTGGCCTAGTTGTTTTATGTATTTTTTTTACTCAACACCACAAGTGGTGACATATTTTATTAATACTACAAAATAAAATAGTAAAAATTTAG